AGGCCCTGTAGACAGCTACTTCGATGTATGTTGTCAATTTTTTTTCTTTGACTCTCTTTGTCAGTTCACTGATCTATCTAATTATCTCTGGGCCTAGAAATAAGCTAAAGCTAGAGTTGAGGTAAGTAAACAAGTGACCTACCTCCAGGTCATGACATTTGGTGGTAATGACTGGAGGACACTTGATACTCCCAAATGTAAAGAATGAAAGATCTAAATTTTATCAAATCATATTAAGAAATGTACCAGACAGAAATGAAAAATAAGCTAAATTTCAAGTAAATGAAAAGTTGAACATAAATCTGCAGTTGTCAATTTAACAACTATGTTGTGCAACTTCATGTACCAAAGGAAGCTTTAAAAACACAATTAATCCAAATTTTGATACACATAATAAACACGTTAAAGATAACAAATATTTACTACAAATAAACTTACGCAATTGATATTTATGGTTATCCTTCTCATTAAATAATTGGAGCATAGTATGTGAATTGATTCCTTCAACTAAACTGGAAAAATTCTGTTTGCTGTAGATGTTGATATGCCCTACCTCTCTCTACACATGATCAGCCATATCTGATTTTAAAGTTTCTTCATAATTCAGGCAAGAATTATACAGGCTATATTACAACATTAGAAAAATAATAATTACATGTAAAGTATGCCTATACAAATGTAAGTGGTAGTCAGTATTAATGCGGGACCTTTTAAAAATGTTGTTGCCTGTCTTTTTTGTATGTATGCCTTTGAATTTTACTTCTAATCTTATTTACGTATTCCTTTTTTTTGTTGGTACCAATTCGTTATGAAAAAAAATTTTTTCCTTTTTTTTTTTTATATAATTGAAGTGAATTTAGCCTTCCCCCTTTTCTGAAAACTTTGTCTGAATATTAGTTCTTTGAAATTTATTTTTTTTTCTGCTGATTCATGCAAATAATGGATGGCATGAGAATTTCCTGGGTCATGGATGAGGAGTGTTTGCCTTCAACAACAAGTGTATGTTGGCACTTCAACTAAGTTGTAACTTTATATTTCGGTTTCAACTTTGAGTGCCACACACATTGTTCATAGACTTCTTGTATGCTACTTGTTTATCTTTTTGTTTATTGTTTTTTTTTTTTTTGTGTTTGTGTGTGTATTAGAAGTAGATAGGTTTGCCTATCACCTGGTTAATACTCCTTCCCCTTCTCTTGAACAGGAGTAGAGGCTCACCCCTTGTTTCCTGTTTAGGAAGAGGTTCCCATTCTCTAGCCTCCATAGTAGTATTGTCATGAATCTCTTGTGATGTGTGCAGTCTGTGGCAATGTCTCTTCATATTGAGAGTACTGGGTTGACAGTTCTTTGGTTGCTGTTACTGACTGGTAGTTAGGAGCTCTAACTTATGCGTAGTGTCTTGAGTGGCTGCTCTGATCAACAGTTGCATAATATCAGGGTGCTTGCAGTGCCATGTAACACATGGAAGTTTGTTCTTGCATGCACCTCTGGCCATTTTATGTTGCAGTCTGTGCCAGCTTTTTTCTTTCCATGTCACATATGATGACCTTCTCCTATTACTTTAGGCCTTTTCATTACCAACATAACTCAACATGACCATAAACAATCAAAAAAATAAACCTAAACCAAACAAAACAATCACCAACATTTCCTTTTCCAACATCCATGGCATTTGTACTAACTAGTGCAGTGTGGAATCATTCCTTTTTGAATTTGAAAAATCTCTTGATATACTAGCTCCCTGCAAGACCAACCATAACTAATCAATCCCCTCCTCTGATTTCTCAATTCCTGGTTACTTTCCTCTCCTTAGAAAGGACCCTAAAATCCACATGCATGACTTGGGATCATCTTTCACTGGCTAGGGAACTCTCTCTTGAATCTCCAGACCATTCATATATGTGTCTCCATCTATTTCTCCTCAATTCTGTAAGCTCTCTCTTCTTTCTCTATCATTTTCCTTCCTCCCAAGACTGTGGTGTACTTGATAGCATTTCTCTCTACATTTGTTTGCACACATGTTTGTGTTCAGTGACTTTAACGCTGACTATACCATGTGGATTAAACACTCTGTAACTGACCTTGCTGGCATACAAACCCTTAATTTTCAATCATTCAATCCCTCAAACAAGTGGTAATGCTTCTCTTGATCTCTGTTTTACCTCCATCCCTGACTCTTATTGTGCCATACAGCTCTGCCCTCTTGGAAACTCTGATCACGCTGTAGTGTCTGTTAACATCTTCTTCTACTCCTTCCCCAGTAAAAACCTCTAACAGAATATCTTTCTATTATCAACGAGCAGGCTTGGATTTGTTCCATGATTTCCTTCACATCCCCTGGAATGTGGTTTTTAATCCCCCCACTTAGAAATGTGCATCTGAGGTCTTCTCCTGGGTAAAAGCTGGCATCTTCTCCTTGATTCTCAGTTGCTTGCTTGGCTGCTATTTCCCATAGGAATCACTTCTTCCGTCTGCACCGAAGCGACATGTCAGATTGCAACAGACATCTCTTTGTCTCAGCCTATAATGAGTGCAATTGTGTCCTCAATGAAGCAAACTCACTATTTGCTGAAAGAATGAAACAACACATTGCTTCTTGCAAGTTTGGTTCTTAAATTTCATGCTCAACAACAGCAAATCTACCTCCTCTATTCAATCAATTTGAGGTACTGACTTCCTCAACTGATAAGGCTGAATTCTCATCCAATTCAACATTTGACTCATCTGGAGTACCCACACCTGATTTTTCCCTCTAGAACTGAGGCTCTATTGAGTGAAATGAGTATAACCCTATTGACAGTATTGGACATCATCTCTAAATTAGACTCTCATAAAGCTAGTGGCAGGGACAGGATACTAGTGGTAGTCCTGAAGAAATGTGCTCCTGAGCTGGCTATAGTTCTCTCCAAACTATACAACTATTGCCTCACTGACTCTTGCTTTCCAGCTTGTTGGAAGTCCTCATCTGTTGTCCATATTTTAAGAATTCTGAAAACCCTTCTGACCCATCTAACTACCATCCTATCAGTCTCTTACCACTCTTCAGTAAATCTTTGAGGCTTCAATCAACATTAAAGTGGTTAAGCACCTTACATCCCATGATCTGCTCTCTGACAAGCAATATGGTTTCCACTTTGCCTGGTCTAGTGCTAACGTGCTCATGGCCATAACTGAATTTGTATACCAAGCACTTGACAATGACGGAGAAGCTTGAGCTGTGGCTCTAGATATATCTGAAGCATTTGATAGGGTTTGGCATGCCTGCCTTTTTCATAAGCTTCAGAGATATGGCATTGCAGGATAATTATTTGACTTAATACAATTATTCCTGTCAAACCGTGAAATGAAGTTTGTCCTAAACGGATTCTCCTCCAGTTCCTTTCATACAAACGCTGGTGTTCCCCAAGGTTCTAACCTGGGTCCTACACTGTTTGTGATCTTCATCAATGACCTTCTTGATGGCATCAGTTCCCAAGTAGGCATCTATGTAGATGACACTACTATTTACTCATGCCTCAATAGTAAATCTAGCATCACTGACAAAACTAACCTGGCTGTTGGTCTCAAAAAGGCCTCCAATCTGTGGTTGACTTGGGCAGGAAATGGCTTGTAAACTTTAATGCCTCTGAAATGAAACTGCTCACATTTACCCACAATAGAGAGCCCTCCCGGCCTTCTATCAGAATGGCTAATGCCCAACTCCATGATAGCGCCTCTCTGTGCCTGCTTGGTCTCATGCTTTCCACTGACCTGGGGTTGAACAACTACAATGAACCAAGAGTTTCATCTACTGCAAGGAAAATTAGTTCCCTGTGTTGTGCCAGGTTTTTCCACCGGAATCCATCCTTCAAATCTACAAATCTACCATTTGTCCTTTTATTGAATACTGTTGCCATATATGGTCTGGTGCCCCAGCTGTTCATCTAGAGGTTTTCGACAAAATCCAGAGACTGATATGCAATGTGATACTTCCTGATCTGGCATCTCATCTACAGTCACTTTCTCACAGACATGCTGTGGCTTCTCTTTGTCTTTTCTACAAGTATTTTCATGGCAACTACTCTGATGAGCTACTTTCACTAGTTCCCAAACTGCATGGATTTAAGCTTGCTACTAGGTTGACATCTCGATCTCATCCTTTCATTGTCGAAACTGTTAAATGTAGCTGTCTCTTCTACTCCAACAGCTTATCTTCCACTTCCCAACAGTGGAACTCCCTTCCTCTTACTTGCTTCCCTGATAGCTATAATCTTCAAATATTCAAATGTAATGTAATCTTCTGATGCCTTGATCTTGATCCGCGTCCTTCTCTTTATCCTTTCCTCAAACTACCCTCTTTACTCTTGTTCTCACTCTTTGTAACCCTTAGGTGCTAGTGGCACTTCTGCCTTGCTTGGGATGATATGCTTATAAAAAAAAAAAATTTCTCTACTGAGAAATTGCTTGCTTGTCTCATACCTGCTTTAAAATTTGATATAGTGAAAACTTTCATCTTGTGTATTGATGGTGTCTTTGGCTTGTCTTTCTCTCTGATTAAAGTGGTATGAAAACTTTTTTTTTTTTTTTTTTTTTTTCAGATTGTGGCTCTCTTCTTCATGATTAGAAATTATTAAGATTAAAATAGTGGATTACTTTATAGGCCAGAAATAGAATTATGACTTAAATAATTGCATTTTGCCTCTTTCATGCCTGTTTTTTTTTCTTCATTGTTGTAAAGTGATCTTTTCTAGGTTTATCATGTTTATATTATTTATTTACTGTTTTAAATGTCACCAGATCTGCATATTATGCGACAAGTGATTCTAAAAAACTGCTGCTTCATCATTCACAATGTCATATGCAAATAGTTATAAATTATTGAAGAATGATGCTGAAGATAGATCAGACTATTATTCTAAGTTTGTGAATTTTGTATCTAGCAGTTGTTTGCGTATCATGGTATTTCTTTAAAAAAAAAACTCGTTGCAATCTTTCCTGTTATAAAATGTCTTTTTCAATTTCAGGAACGTCAATTCTTGGAAAATCAACGTGAACGTATGGAAAAACACATGAAACAGTTAGCTGACCAGCACAGACAGAAGATTGCTCTATTAGAGAGTCAGTACTTACAACAGAAACAGCAATTATTACGAGGTAAATCTCAATGTACATATAATATTTACTTATTGCTCACAGATTTATTTACATTACCTTTTATAAGATTTATACAATGAAATTGTTGTTGGCTTCAGGATAGGTGCCAACATTTTTGTTTTAGTGCTCAGTGGAATAAGAATACTCTTATTGAGTAAGTATTTACTCTGCCCCCATACCCCCCGCCCCAGCCAAAGGACGAGATGTGACACAAGGTCTATTTTTAGGTGGGGACCCGAGCGTGTGCACCCGGGGCAGGAACCAACCGTCGGTTGCACTGGCCACAGTGCAAGCACCGGTCCCTCTCTCTGGTGCAATGGGAGGGCGCAGCTGTTCCCCAGGGCTGGGCACCTCTCAGTATAATTTTCTCAGTTGCCCCACTGTCCTTGGACAGAGTGTGCTAAGGGGCTTCTCTGTCAAAGGACAGAGATGCAAATGAGAAATGATAAATAGATGTGAACCTACTCAAAAAGAGTTAGTTACACGCTCCTATTGAGTAGCATAAGAAATACAAAGCATGAATCAAATAGATGAGGCCATAAAGTTCGCCTCAACCCTCCACCCCACCCCCGTCATTAACTCAGTTGATAAAATTATTTGGCACCAAAGTAACCTCATAAACTGCACTTATTACCCCTTCTTCTTATAATTATACACCCACCTTATTCAGGCATTGTATTGGGTGAATGTTAGTAAAAAAACAAAACATATTGACTCTGGTAAAGAGTATTGCTTACCAACTATTTAGAAAAGAGTTTGTGGTTTAATATTCTTTTTCAAAACCTTAAAAATAGAAGTACATTTTCTTCATTGTTCAGAATAATTAATTTCTGTTATGAACTGTAATGACTTTGTAAATTTTCATTTTATGTATTTATTTTTTTAGCAATTGAATTTTTCAAATGATACAGAATTTACTTGTATTACTATCTACCAGCCAATATTAGTCTTTGTACAGTGGTAATGACTCTTGTACAACATTGTTTATAATTTTATTTTAATATTTTTTATATCTGTCAAAATACAATCAGAAATATTAAAATATAAAAGGAGCATAAACAAAATAAGTAAACTGTTATAGAGAATCTGATGGTAGTGAACTTATGTTTTATTCTGATAGTCTGTTTTGAACCAGCTCAACATAAAAATTGATTCAAATAGATGATGTGATTGCTAGGCCTGTTATTCCCATGTAAATAAACACATATTTATTTTTATATTCTTAATAAATCAATAGTATATTAAATTTTTAGTGTTTTTCTTTTTTCTTTCTTTTAAATATAGATTTGCAGTTACTTAAACCTGTAATATTAAATGTACTATCACAAATATAGCTTGGCATGTAAAATGCCATTCAGCATGTATTATCATATCAGAGCAAAATAACAGGTGCAAATAAAAATGTAGTAACTTAAATGTATTGTAGTTCAAAGTGCAATTTTGACTTTTTGTGAAAAATAATGTAATAAGCAGTCAGTTTATACACTGTTCAGTCATTCTTTCTCTACACAAGGATTCTTTTTGGTATATGTTTTGAAACTAGGTATAATTGATGTTTGAATAAAAGGAATGTTTGATGAACTATAATTAATGGCTGAATGAGAGAAACTATGACTCATATTTGCTGGATAATTTCTCAACAGAGATGTGATCCTACAGAAGGCTGCTGAGAATACTGTGAACAATGAGGTTTTAGGAAAAATGGAAGGAAAAAGGACACTTGTACTTAGAATCAGAAAGAGACAGTTGAAATTTCTGGAACACATAAAGAGGGTTTAGAGAATTGGACACTTATAGGACATATTGAAGTCAAAAGAGGCTGAGGTAAACAGCAAGTAACATGCCAAATGAATAGCAGAATATGGCTAGGAGAGTTAGTAAAGGAACAAACATAAGAGTTACAAAGTACAGGAAGTTGTGGTGAGCCATGATTACACACGTCTTGAAGGGATATGGTACATGAAAGAAAATTTGAGTTTATACTCTTAGAAATGATTGGTTAAATGAATAGTTAATTTATTATTATAACAATAAAAAGAAAGATGCAAAGTTGATATTTATTTGTCATTTTTAATATAGTTATATACCAATGCCAACATTGGTTTCTTTCTATGTAATAAATGCTTAAATGTGTTGTATTTATCAAGCATCTTTATGTCTCTGATGTGTTTATTTGCAGCTCGAGAAGCTGCTCTATGGGAAATGGAGAAAAACCAATTGCATGATAAACATCAGCTTGCTAAAGGACAGCTAAAGGACCTCTTCTTCTTAAAACGCCACCAAATGCTCAATCGGCACCAAAAGGTAACAAGACAATAATCTTTCCTCTGCAATGGAGCTGCATATTCCTTATTAACACTGTTTGTAGTTGGAACGAGATTTTAGAATAAAGAAAATGAGTGATTTAGTAAAATTTGATCTTCTGTAATGAATGGAACATGTGTTAATTGAAATGAAATACAATGAACAAAGAGAGCTATATTGATCTCATAAAACAAACACATACACATACACACACATATAATTTTTTTTTCTTCCCTACACTGTGAGGAAAGTTTGTACATGAAAAAATGTAATTTTCCTTTTTGTTCAGGAAATTGACCAGATGAAGAGAAGCAATCAAGCTAAAGAGGAGGAGGCTCAACGGTACCAACTTCTGGACAAGAAACGTCATCCGAAAGTAATTAAAAACCAGTCCAAAGTGCGGGCACAGATGTTCAAACAGAGTCTTCGTCTGAGCACAGTTGGATCTCCTGAGGAAGACCGACTCAAGATGAAACAGGTAAGAGATAACAATCCTTTTATTATTTAACTCTTGATGATTATGCTCTCTGTTAGTATAAATCAATTGATGCTGGATTTACATTCATGTCTTCTGAGTGGCTTAGATAAGTAATACCATATTTTAAAATATCTTTTTTGGCATATAATTAAAAGCTTAAATATAAGATACATTAAAATATATACAAATATATATTGCAACAATGCCATGAATCAAGAAAAATGAATTCCATCATTTCTAGTAAAGGGCATACTTCCAGGTTTCATTATAATGAATGGAACCTATATAAATTTTGTGGTTATTGCCAAATATGAGATTTCTATATTTATTTTCCTATAATTTTGAAGTGATTCAGTAGCTATAATGCTTTTGGTTCGAAAATGAACTTTCATTTAACACTTAAAGTATTTAAAGATAATATCAAAGTAAACAGCAAATCATATTTTCTCTACATGTAGAGTATATCTGAAATTCTTTTTATCAGGCTCAAATTATTTAGGAAGTATATTTTTACCTATATTAAATTCTCAGTTATGGATATAATCATATATAGATGCTGGAAAATTGGTTGCTTCTTTCTACCACTCCAGAAAGTACCTGATTCCTTTTGACACGCTTTATCTTTACAAAAATCAGATTAAACCAAAAATGGAGCATTATTGCTGTATCTGGGCTGGAGCTGCTTAATCCTCACTTTCCAACTTTGATAGAGTTCAAAATTGTTTAGCCTTGTAAAGACTCATTTATTTTCCAATTTAAAGCCTCTTTCCCACAGATGCAATGTCACAAGCCTATCGTTAATCTTTCGCTATTTCAATGACAAACCTGTTCAGACCTTTATAGCTAGGGCCCACTATGCTATATTTATGGAGTTGAATCACTCACATTGCTTTTGTATTCCAATTGTCAGGAGGAAGTACCACTCAAAAAGCTTTTTCACAAAAATTGCAACTTTGTGGAACACTCCCCCACATGTATACCCCTTTTTGTCACTTGTCAATCATTATCCATCTTCCTTATCCTTATAATGCCCACTTTATTTTACTTACTCTTGCATTCATAACGCATAACGATTTTAGTAACCCTCTACCTTGAGAGTTTCTTGAGCCTTGTATTGGGTGAAATTTAGTAAAAAAATATAAATAAAATAATTTAAAAATTTTTTTTATTTTAAAGATTTTCTGAAAATATTTTGATTTAAAAGCAATTATTTTGAACATGCAAAAATTATTTGCTTGAAATTAAAATGTTCAAAAATTTAAAACCAAAGAATTTTTCTTTTTTGTGCATCTTTGCGGGTTTAGAAATTGTAAAAATTGTTTTACTTTACAGTTTGAAGAGAATGAGAAGAAGAGAATGAAATCTGAAGCTGCTCGGTTGGAAGCAAAACATAAAAAGCAGTGGGAGAAACTTTTACTTGATAATGAAACTGCTCTTAGAGAACTTGAGCAATTACAGGTAAGTTTTATGGCTTGTGTACTGTTTGTCTACTTGTTACTGACTCTCCTTTTGATTGTCTGTCAAAATCTACACTCATAAGTGTCTATTTTGATCTGGCTCTGAGGATATAAGGTTGAATTGATAACATTTGAAAAATTTGGCATCTATCTTCAATTATCTCACAAACTTTCTGTTGAATGAATACTAAATAATTTTGTATGAAAATTAACAAAAGCTTAGATTGAATTTCTGTTGTGAGTCTTTTATGGAAATGAAGTTCTTAAGAAAGGAGGATTGATAAAACACTTTTTAAAATTTGTCTCTAGGCTGAAAAGCGCAAGATGTTGATGGAACATGAAACACAGAAAATTAAAGAATTGGATGACCAGTACCAGAATGAACTCAGGGAATGGAAAAGTCAACTGGTTCCCAGGAAACAGGTAAATTACTCTGCTAATTTTTTTATTTTTTTGTTTTTATTTTGTTCTTGACTTTCCTCTACAGAATTCTATCCTACTTGAGGCAATTCCTTGATAAGTATTACTTTTGCAAAAATAATGCTTTACTTTGGCCACAACTATTTTGCAATTTTATTGCGTTTTCTTCACCGTTTCACTTTTTAAATTGGAATCTGAAAACATAAAAGCAAGCTTTATTTTGGCCCTGGTAGAGCACTCACCAACAAACTGTCTGCAGCTTTTAAGTGCAGCATCGATTATTCCGTGTTTAATAAGAGAATCAGTTCTTCATTACAGACTAATCTGATCTGTTGTATTATGGCCAAGTTCAAGTCAATGGTTGGTTTTTATTAGTGCAACCAATCATTTCATATTTGTTTCTCTGTCTTACTCTCTGCTTTAAAATTTAAAAGAAAATTGTTGTAAGATGATTTTGACTGTTAAGCTATGTGTGTATCTATGGCATATTTGAATGCCAAGGTCTGAGCATTTGAAGTTGATAAAATAACAACTGAGATATTTTAATTTTCAAAATCTAATGCCCATTCAGTTGTATTTAAGTTAGCTTAATGAACATTAAAAATAATTTTTCTATTTTTGATTTGTTTGTTTTTCTAGAATATTATCTTTGGAAATACAAGATTTGTTCATTACTTTCTCTTTTAAGTGTTTTAAAAGTGGATTTCTTTCTTTAAATGTTACATGAAAATAAAACTTCTCTATTTATGCAAGTAAATAAAATGAAATATTAAAATGGAAACAATATATTATATGTAGTTTATTTAAAAAATTGTTTTACTTAAAATTATCTTTGTTAAAAACCAACTTAGATAAGAGTCTCTAAAAAGTCCTATTTATTTGTGGTATAAAAGTATTCATCCATTTTAGAATTTGTATAATCACAGGAAATGCAAGAAAAAAATAATGAAAATGTTCTGTTGTAGTTATTAACATTAATAATTTTTGCTTTGTTGTAATTGTTATGGAGCTACTTTGTATTTGCTTAGTTTAGTGAAGTATTCAGTCTATGCTTGTGTGTCAGTAATTTTGCCTGAATTTTTAAAAACAAACAAGAAAAAAAATATCCTTAAAGATTTCGTCCTTTAAAAATATAGCTTCATTATAGGATTTTGTTGTTGCCTCATTTAAACATTAAACAAATGCTTTTTCACTTTTCTATTTCTTTATTACTATATTTTAATGGGAGAAGATTTGTTACAAGATATTTCTATTCTGTTATTGATAGGCATAATCTTCAATAAAAGAATATACATTTTAATATTCATCCATAATCTTGTCCTTTTCTTTCTGAATACATTATGACATTTATTGATACCAAATGAGGTTGTGTTCCTTTTTAGTCTAGTAATATGTTAGTCTAAGAATTTTTGCTCAAATTTCTGTTAGTTCATCATGTCTGTATTGACCAAATTGTCCATTGCCCATATTATTTGGGGGGTTTGTCTTTATGCTGAGATGCAGTATGGAGAGTAACTTGAGATTTGTGATTATTTATAGCTATCAGAATCAGAGCTGACCCTACCTGTGTAGAGGTAAGTGACCTTTGTTAGTGTGTGATATCACCAGTATATATCCTCCCGTTGCTATCACATTAGTTCTTGGCTCAGTGTTTTGGAAATGCCTAAATCATCAAATAGTTGATTCTACTTTTAAATAGTTCATTTAAATGCATTAATAAGTTACTATATGTATTTTTGTGGATGAAATCATGCCTTGTTTTAGGGTTTCATCTTTGTTAATCTGGTTACTCCTAACAATTCAGAATTGATTAATTTGAGGCTGTTGTCATTTTAGACATTGTCAGATTATCACATAGGTAAATTTTTGATTTGATCATGTTTAATATAGTTAGCTGGAATTACAAAAATCCACAGTGAATTGAAGTTAGGATTTTTTATTTATTTATAAAGGAATTCCTTTTTAAATATTCTGTGCTGTTTTAGATTGTCAAAATTCATTAATATGTTCTTTATTTTTTGAACAATCTATTGCTGAAACTCAGTATCTTTTAGTTCATATCTATAGTCTTTTTATCTCCTAATTAGATAGATAGATTTTTAGAAGCCTTCCAGTTGCATGATTTAGATAATTTACACTGTCTAGCATTCAAGCTTAAACTTTAGCAGTTTGGCCTGTATTGATAAACAAATACAAGAAGAATAGATTTGGGTCTTTGAGTAAATGAGCCAATTTTAGGATTTTACATTTAAAAAGTAGAAATACCAAATAATTAGATATTAAAATAGGATGTGGGGTATTCATTACTGAAAGATGTTTTTTAAGTTGCTTAATTATTTGACATATTTAAAAATATATATTTTACATAAATAGTGGTCAGTGATGCTTTTTTGCGTATATTCCTAATAAATCAGTTTTCCTCATTAGCTTTGATGTTAAACCAGGAAATGATATTCACTTGTTGCATTTTACTCTTTATCCTACTTTCTCACTTTTCAGATGTTAAATTAAAAACAAAACTTTTATTAAATAGCTAGAAATAGGATTGACACTTTTGTCAGTTTTCTTGTATCTGTCATAAACAGCAAGAGGATTTTAAATCAATCTAGGATGTATTTTTAAAATTCTGATTGTGTATTTTTCCTATTTATCAGTCAGTTAAGTGCCAGATGTGATAAATGCTTTGGCAATCATGTCTCTTTTGATTCATGACTGACTCAGTAGAAGATTTTCCTGCAGTAGGCCACTGTTTGTGGTAGACTGGTTGTCAACTAAGTCTACAAGACCCAGTCTATCCTACTTTTCAACCCATAGCTGTGGGGGAGATGGTTTCATACTTTTCCCAAGGGTATTTATGTGTAAGTGAATATAATGAACCTAACTGGAATTCAAACTCGGCTCTCCACTTTCTTATTCTGAGCCATTATCCATTACACCACATCACACATCCCCCCTTTACATAGAAACTTGTAATTTTTTCAAAGGTTAAATTTTAATAATAGTGATTTTGGGTAGATATTTACTGAACAAATTAAAATTTAAATAAAACTACAGAATTCTGGTCAAGTGAAATAGCAGGTATTATAAATGTTTTGGATAATTTATAAATTATATTATCCAAATTGACCATACAACCCAAAGTGTGGGTAAATTTGGAGATTGAGACATCAGTTACAAACTGCAATATCATAGGATACTTGCTTGATTAAAAAAGATGCACCGAATTGTAAATAAGTTTGTTTTCTATGATTTTTTATTGTTTAATCCCTTCCCCATTTTTAGAGGTTTATAGCTGGATCATTTTTTGTCTCCTCACTTCCTCTGCTTGTAGTTGAGTTGAATACTCCCTTATAATGCCTTGCAACAACTGCCAATTTTAACATTTTTGTTTTATGTTTTTCATAAAAAGTAGCCTTCAAACCCAACAGATTCTCATAAACATTTGTGTAGCATGTACACACACACACACACACACACACACACACACACAATACTACTAGCTTCCACTTTCGCCAATGTCCAAAAATATTTTTGACAAGTGGGGGTCAGGAAGTTGGGGCAATAAAAAAGAACAAAACTATCATATTAAATTTTCAATCTTATTTAAATCACATTCCAATGCTAGTTTTTGAATTTAGAAAATGTATTGTTGCTTGAAGATATTTAGAACAAATCCTATCTTGCATATTTTGCACTTAATTTCTACAATATTTTTAACATTTTTAGTTCAGTAAATCAATGCCTTTGTTTAATGTAAATAAGAAAAAAAAATTTGTAATGAAATTGTTGAATTGAATTTTGAAGTCTTGTTTGTATTGAAAACCCAATGAATGTGATATGATAAAAATGATTTGTACTGTGAAGGAAATGTTTAACCGTGTTCAACTTTTGTTGTATGCTGAAATTTTTTGATCTACATAATGTTAGATGAGATTTGTTTCAATAAAATATAACATAAAACTATGCTAGAACTTTTAGCAAATCATTAATGTCAATCATTATCCTCTGTCTTAATTTCTATTCTTTTATTGTTCTCTCGCCTTAATTATGCTTTCTTTTTCTCGTATTCTTTCACACTCAGTAACCCCCCCCCCGCATCTTAGTGGCTTTATTGCCTTGCTTGGAGTGAAATGATTTAAAAAAATACTTAGATTATATATAAAAAGAGCAAACATTTTTTTCTCTAACATCATCATACTCAGTTTAAAATTTAAAAAAAAATCACAGAGAATATTTTAACTATAATCTGCTTGGAAATATTTTATTTGATTGTCTACTTCAAGAAAGGTATTAAGTTCCACCCTGTTTGGCAGCATTCATTTGATCCACTTTTAGATAACATACAAAACTATAGAATTTTGTTGTTTGTAGAATTACTTTGAAGAACTAACTTCCAAATGAAAACTCTCTTTTTCTCACTCTCTCTCCCACTCTCTTCAGCATACAGTGTCGTCTTACGAGACTGAGTTATTGTACTAAATGTTCTTAGTAATCATTGTTTTTCCCTGTTTTAAGTATCTCCCTTGTACTATCGTTTTTTGTTTTTTTTGAGGGGGAGGGAGCCAGACTTTATTTTTTGTATTTTACAGATTTAATTTTTTTTGTTCATTTACAATTTGCTGTTTAGAATAAGAAATATAATAAATATTTCTTATTGAAAGTACATTAAACATAAGGTTATTGATATGACAAATCAGTGCATATTATTTTATCTTTAATCAACATTTAGAATTATTTTAGTAGTTAGAATAGAAAAAAACAAAATTCCTTTGAGACAGGTGTGTGTAAATTTCTATATAAAGCTCTAACACTGGGCTGTAAACATCTTACTTTTCTTAGTACTTTTTTTTTTTTTTTTTTTTATTTTATTTCTGAGCATTTTTCTTGCTTTCTCTTTGATGGGTAAATGGAGTTCTTCAACATAAATTATTATTATCATGATCATCCTCCTCCTCTTTTATTTCTACTTATGAGTCTGAGGAGAAAAAAATCTCTTGGATACCTGCCCATCCCCAGCTTCATTATTGATATTTCAGGTGAATTGTCTGCCATTTGACACCTCCCATCTTCTCTCTCTTTCTCAGCCACATGCCTGAGGAAATATTCTGCTATTTTCTGCTCATTCAGAAGGTGGTAAAGGAATAAACAATAACCTCTTTCTTTTACCTCTTTTCCATAGATTGGCTTCACCCACACATTTCTGGCCAACTTCTGTTTCCAATGCTGTTAACATTATCATGACTTTCACAATTATTTCTTTCTTCAAGGTTTCTTATCATGGCCACCACCACCACTACTACTACTGTTATAATAGCATTTGTAATAGTGATAGGAATAATTTTTATGTTTAATATTGCTATTATGATGACCATTATTTTCTTATATCACTGCTGTTATGAATGTCATAATGATTTTCTAATTCATAAAGTAATTTTAAAATGGACATAATGGAATATAGCTTTTACTCATTTGAAATTATCTCATGATGATGATATTTACTGCTGTTATCACTAATGTAAAGACTATTCATAATAATCATATTTTGAGCATGTTTGAATAAAATATTTGTCTATAAATTCTTATTGGGGCTGTTATCTTCATAGCAGTTTCCTTGTTTTCTCACTTGAACATCTTTTATTTTACCATTCCTAATGGAGTTTTTTAACCTGTTTGCTGAGTATAGTTTTTTGTTTTTAACTTCATAATTGCCATCTGTGGCACTAAACTAACAACTTGCAAAGAGGAGTTATTTTTTTGTGACAGCAAATATCAGTGGCGTATTTTGTAAAAGTCAGCAAAAAAATTCAAACAAAAGTCTCTTATTGACTTAAGTTTTCTAACTTAAGCATTTCTTTTTAATGTTGACAAAATAATACCTATCACAAGAATATTAGCTATATGTTCAAAATTTGTCTGTTAGTTTTTTGCATTTTGTTTTTTGTTTTATGTAATACAACTTGTAGGTTTATTTAATTCAATTAGATTTTGAACCAAACAATGTTGCACAAAAAATTGCAGGGTTGGTTTTAATTGCTGTACAGAATATTTTTACCACGGAATTTCATAACTTGAGTATTAGTCAAATTTGACCCAAATTGTTCTAACAGATTTTTTTTTATGTTAAACTGGGTTAGAAGTGTAGATATAAAAATTTACATTTTTAAATATATAGTTAACAGAATCATGTACTTGTAATGGGTTCTTTCTGTATATTGCCTCACCTGTATTTTTTTTTTAAATAGAGCTATTATCATTGTAATTTACGCATATCATCAAAAAATGATCGCAATATTTAAATAATTTTTCAGTTGTGGAGATTATATTCTTGTATGAATAATCTAAATTTTTATTTATACAATTATTTCTATTTCACATCTAAGAAATAATTTTGCTTTTCAATAAATCGTTTAAAGTAAAAATATATCCAAAGAAAGCTAACCTGAAATGAAAAGCAATATCTTAGAATTCATGTCACCTCTTCTTACTGCTCTTATGGTAATACAAGGTGTGTTCAATGTAGTATCAACTAATGCTTCCTGTTACCTTAAGAATGGAGTATTTGATTAATAAAAAAAAGAGATTGATCATCCTGACTTAGATATATACAAGGTGTGCCAAGTATTAGAGAACGGAGAACATTAACAGACCATTAATTGAAGATGATTTAATCTAATGTTACATAGCATGTGTGAAATTTTAATATTTTCATTTCTCTTTCACATGTATTGAGAATATTAGCACATAGCAGGTTCCAATCTGACACAGGAAATGAAAAGGCATGTCATGTTTGTGTCAGTAGCTGTCAAACACAGCAACTTGGAGATGGCCAGCTTCTTGAAAGTGGCCAGATGAATAGGAGGAATGATAAGTATCTGTGTGTAAACCCTATGAAGGTATCCATGGCAATATGCCATATGTCGCAGTCTTGGGGTTCTTGAGCAATGACATGCTGCTCCACTTCTTTTAGGAAAGTTTTAGGGTCAAAGCCACTATATGCATCAAGATGCTTAGACAGTGTACAAGCCTTAGATCGAGGTGCTGTCTGTATGTGTTCCAAAAAGAATCTCCTCTTCCCCACATGATCCTGGAGTGGTTGACTAAAAGTTTTCATAGATCATGTCATCCCCAAATATGTGATCTCTTAGCTCTTCTGATTTGAATCCCCTGGACTACTACTACATCTGTGGGTGTCATCATAAGTAAAAACCAACCAGTGGCATCAGAGTACCAAGAACCTGTTGAAGGCAGATATTTTGAATGCTAACCATCTGAGCTGAGCAGATTATTTTTTTTATATACAAAGATTGGAAAATATAATTAGTTTTTTGCTTTTTTTATATGTCAGCTCTATCTTGTCTGATGAAGAAGAAATTCTTTTCTTTATAAATTGCTATAAAAAGGACAGTTTTGAATGTTCTATTTTGATTTTTTTTTTTCTTTGTTAATTTGAGAATTGGATAATTGTTGATATTATTTTGGTGTTGGATATTTAGTTTATTTCAATTTTCTCCACAGAAATTGGAAGAAGAGTTTTTCCATCAAAAGGAAGACCAAGAGAAATTCTATGGTAGCGCCCTGAGTTCTGGAGATGGCCCTACTTCTCACTCCACTCTCAGTCCAGGAAGTCTACGAAAGAAGGACCCTTCGTCTGCCCGACATTCTACAATCATTTAAGACTTTTCATATATTTTGATTGATATCACTTCAAAATGTTGATGAGATGATAATATTTCAGTATGAAAAAAAAGAAAAAAATGCAAAAATAAAAACTCAATTTTTTAAAAATTTTATTTTAAATTACAAAGAACGTTGATTTCTGAAAAGAAAAAAAATGGGGATGGGGGTGGAAAGCAACTACAACAAATACCAAAATCCCTGCTTGCATCCCAGTAGATTAATGGTAGTTTTTAAAAAAATATTTTATTCAGTTATAGACCCTCCCTACTTTCCTCACATATCACATTTTTTCTTAGGCACTCATTACATCCTTTCTGTAACTTCTCAAGAGTTAGTTCCATTAGTTGGCACCAGAGATTTTAATTTTTTTCCCTTAACACCTGGAATCTAAAATCATAATCTTAGATTTTAGAAACGAAGACTATGATTATAAAAATTTAAAGTGTTTGAGGCTTGTGTACACTCTGTGATAGAAATAAGTGCAAAAAATAATCCTTTCCATTGAGTTTAAGCATTTCTAATTGAAGCATTCATATCTAATTAAGAAATAAAGATAGTTAAAATATGTTCAACACACACACTGCCAAGTCTAATTCATTTAAATTTCTTGCCTTAGCTCTTCTCTTGTTTACTAACAATTACTCAATAAAAAGGAACAGGTCTGTTTGCTGCTTAAAATTTTTCCTGGAAAATTAGGGAAGAATTTGGAATTTTTGCATTTTAATTCCAAAGATAATGCTGTTTACAGAACTTTGTTAAAGTCTATAATGAGTCGTGGTTGCTACGGAAACCCACACAACAGGGAAGAGCAAAAAACGTAATTTGATATTGGTATCAATACTCTTGTATATTTGAGAAATATTGGACATAGAAATTTGTATTTTAGGAAATTGCATTTTCTTTGTTATTTTTAGTAGCAATCTCTCATGAGATGAATAGGGTGGGATATGTGCATGTTTCAAATGTCATCCTTCTAGCTCTGTGGAAGATCATTATTAAATTGCAATACATGCTCCTATAAAAGGCAGAGTATATTTAGCAGATTAAAATTAGGGCAAGTTGCTTGAAAACAGATATAGAATATTGAGTTTTGTTGTATGAATTTCAACTTGCCGTAAGTATATACATATACACACACACACAGAGTATCTGTTCAAAATGCTTAAACTTCATCAAAGTGAGGTTTAAATGCTTCTGTCCTACTATTTGTACATATTTCCACTGCTTTTTCCTTTTTTTTTCTTTTTAAGAAAAATAAGAATTCTGTTAAAAATGACAGGAATTATTTTTCACATAAGGGATATATATGTCTCCGGGTTGAGGATCATTTTTCCCTTTGAGAATAACTGGTGGTGCAGTCTCTATGGAATGGCTGTAAATTTCTTGAAGAAAGCTATCAGAAGGATGTGTGAGTGAAAGTAGCAACATTTTATGCAGGTATATCTAGAATCTTTTGCCAGGTGGAGTGTTAATTCTGCCATTAAATTCCAATTATATCTGTTTGTATTCTAGAAATTCTATTCTATATATAAAGGGGCAAGAAAAGAAGTGAAAACATGTTTCCTAATTTTCAAAGAATCATTTACTTTAAACATTTTAGAGTTTTAAATCCTTTTATCCTTGTTGTGTGTGTATGTATGTATGTGCCTGTGTGTATGCATATATATATATATATATATATATATATATATATATATAAAAAAAAATACATACACGCATATATATATCCCATTTTAGAAAGAAGTAAAATGGTGTGAGAGTGGATCATTTTTTACCACCACACCTCCAAGAAAAAGAAAAGAGAATCCATCCACATAAAGGATTTCTCAATTTGCATAAATATCTGCCATAATTCCATTCAAATTTTTTTTTTTTTTGCCTGGTCTGTGGATTTGTTGGGATGTTTCCCAATTGAATACCTCTTCTCCCTTTGTCTGTATTTTCATCCCATTCCAGGTGGCTTCTGTGATAGCCTCTCTTCCTCCTCCTCCTTCCCCTATTGTTATTGTGAAACTTGTTTGCTAGAAATTAATTGAAATTTCTATTAATTTGATTTTAGTATGGAGATTTTCCACTATCTAATTTTTCCCACCTATAAACTGTTCCCTTACCTCTAAACTTGATTTGCAATCTCCAATGTTTTCTTTTTGTCTCTCTCTCTCTTTAATTTTTCTTTTTTTATAATAATATTGTCTTCTTTAAAGTATCCTGTGGTGGTAGTAAAAACATTTGTTATTGTTATTATTATTATTATCCATAGTAATCATCTTTTAAATCTTAGTTCAGATTTCTGATCATCAATTGATTATTTCTTATTGAACAAACAAATTATGTTTGCTTTCATTTTTTTTTTAATATATGGAAACTATATAACACATCTATAAATATACCAAAAATACCACATTAACCTTTTGCCTCATCAAAAGTAAATTTCCTTTAAATACTTGATAAAAAAAATAACAAATTAAATTTTCCAGCCACATGATGCTTAAAAAGCCGATTCATTTTTTTCTTTTCTTTTTAAAGTTAAAAATAATGTAAAGTTCTTAGTTATTTCAAATTTGTGATTTTTTTCTCTGTTGTTATAAAAGAGAAAACATTGGGACATCAGGGAGGCAAAGGGTTGATGATTTTTTATTGTACATAAAAAAAAAAAAAAAGGACATTTGATTCACTTTTGCTAAGGATGACCAGCAGGAAAAGAATAATGCCCACTACAAATAAATTGATGATTATTTGGATCAACTTGGATTTATTTAAATTGAACATAAATATCTTTTGTGAGGACAAGGCAGTTACAAGCGGGAGCTTTCATTCATATTTGTAAAAGGAAACACAATTCACACAATTAGTTTGCAATTTTCTTATGATGTAAGAAAAATATGTACATCAAAAAGTTGCTACTAAATAATTACAATTTTCTCAATATATTTTTTTTATATTTCATTTTTGCTATTTTCTCTCTAATGATAGTCATAAATTTAGGATAATGTTGTAAATCCGCTTTAACAAATGATTGTCTTGGCCTTGTTTTCTTAAAAGATATGCAGCCAGTAATATTCCTTTTCTGCTACATTAGCATTTCTCTGAAGTAGTCCTGCCTATAAGAAAATGTGTAAGTTGGCTTTTTTGTGGAAAGCCCAATTTCAAACACAAAGGATTAAATCTTTTACTTACCTGGTCTTCCAAACTGTGATGTTCTTTCTATTATTGTTGGGTGTTGCTATCTTGATATTATATTTTCCATTAATGACACCTGAATCCTTTTCTACCTTAACTAAAGCCTTCATCTCAGATTACTAGTATTTCTGTAAGATTCCAACAGTCTTTGACTGAAATGTACAAGAAGCAAATATTGTCTTAAAACTTTGTCCATTTAAACCTATTTACCTTCTGTCAGCTTACAGTACAGACTGCCGCCTTCTGACTTGGTGCTTTCATTTCCTTAAACTGACAAATATTCCTTGGCTGCCAAATGCTCTGCTCAGTTTTTTTTTGGGGGGGGGTCAGCTTATAAAAACTCCAATAATGAAAGAAAAGCATAGAAGCTATTTCTTCAGATCCAAGCATGTTCGCTATAAAATTATGTCTAAGTCCAAAATTTGACTGATGTGAATATCAAATGATTTAAAAGCAGTTAATTTAATTAAATCCACAGGAGTGGCTTTTATTTAATTTTAAGTTTTTATCTCATCTTTTGTATGCATTAATCTTTATTTGATGTTGTTTTTAATTTATTTTCTTTTAAAAAAAAAAGTTTAATCTCTTTGAGTTTGTTATATTTTCTGAAAGTAAGGAAAAGATGATCTTGTTTGCTTGATTGAACATGTTAGTAATGTTTTTTTTTCTTTTGCATACTCTATAGTCATTATATTTGAACTATTAGCTTTGAAGAGTCCTTTCTAGAAGTGTAGTACTCTTGTTAGAATATGTGTCTATTCTGTAATTCAGGAGATGCTATAACAAACTTTCTTGTCAATTTGTGGTTCTAGCTGAGATTTGTGGGTAGGAAAAAAGTAATTTTTCTATTTTGTTATTTTCTGTTCTTCTACAGTATATCATCTGCCATCAGGAATCAATATTGAACAAATACTTGGGAAGGGTGTGGCAAACTGATAAGAAAGGAAGCCGCTTCTCTATTTATAGAAGTCTTGAATGTATTAACCATTGTCTTCTCACTTGACCTTTACAGTAAATACTTGGCTATGTGCATTTGGATATGCCATTCATTCATTTATGTGAGAAAAGGAAAAACGGAAATATTGATATGAGAAAGAAAAAAAAAAAATTCCAATGAGAATAAAAAGAAAGTTGAGGAGGGATGAAAAGGCTCTCATGGACAAATATAATAATAATTTTATGGCACACTCAAGTCTTCATTCCAACAAGTTTATTCTGAATAAGTGTTTTTATTCATAAACAGGAAGATTACTTTTCACAAAGATGCAGATATATTTTAAAACTATTTTTGAGAAGATGTTTTGTTATTTTTAAAGAGAAAAAAAATGCATCTATCATGTACAGTACGTTCTCTCTGCAAAATACATTTTTAGGAAGAGAAGAAATACGTCTTTGTACATTTGTATTTGGTAGGCGAGTGTTGTTGCAAACTTGTAATTTTATGTTGTCTAGTCAAGATTTGAACCCTCTTCTTTACTGGCTGCTTTCTCCCAGATCCTTAAGTGCCCTGCTTGTTTGTATTGCTTTTTAAAGCTTCATTCTTTTCTTCTGAGAAGAAATCTGTTTATGATAAAGCAGCAGTTGTAAGATCATCGAGGAAGGGCGGCAAGTTGATACAAAAGGCTGTCAGCTAGACATTTGACTGCAGGCCCCAACAAATGTCTATTTAGATAATTGGAAAACTCATTCGACTTTGACATGCAGTCTCATTTACTTAAGAAACTCACTGGAAGTGACAATCTCCCATGAGTGTTCTGCAAATCCAATATATGACAAACAGATAAATCTTGAGCTGAATATGATCAAGACAGACAGTT